CCTCAGAGATCTAGTGCACTACCCTCAGAGATCTAGTGCACTACCCTCGGGGATCTAGTGCACTACCCTCAGAGATCTAGTGCACTACCCTTGGGGATCTAGTGCTCTACCCTCAGTGATCTAGTGCACTACCCTCAGAGATCTAGTGCACTACCCTCAGTGATCTAGTGCACTACCTCTAGTGATCTAGTGCACTACCCACAGCGATCTAGTGCACTACCCTCAATGATCTAGTGCACTACCCTCAGTGATCTAGTGCACTTCCCTCAGTGATCTAGTGCACTATCCTCAGAGATCACTACCCTTCTAGTGCACTACCTCTAGTGATCTAGTGCACTACCCACAGCGATCTAGTGCACTACCCTCAATGATCTAGTGCACTACCCTCAGTGATCTAGTGCACTTCCCTCAGTGATCTAGTGCACTATCCTCAGAGATCTAGTGCACTACCCTCAATGATCTAGTGCACTACCCTCAGTGATCTAGTGCACTTCCCTCAGTGATCTAGTGCACTATCCTCAGTGATCTAGTGCACTACTCTCAGTGATCTAGTGCACTACCCTCAGTGATCTAGTGCGCTACCCTCGGTGATCTAGTGCACTACCCTCAGTGATCTAGTGCGCAACCCTCAGTTATCTAGTGCACTACCCTCAGTGATCTAGCGCACGTAACTTTCCATGAATGATTTTAAGCACTTAACCTTTAGTATTTACTGTAATGATCAAATACACGTATCCTGAAACAGCTCATTGTGATCTAGATCAGGCCATATTAGTTTGTCCTCAGTTCTCTCGTGCCCATACCTTCACCCTGTCCTCGGGAAATGCCCTCATCTCGCCCTTTTCGTGTGTATTCTTGTTCCAATACCTTCATATTGCCCTTATCTCGTGCCTATGCCCACATGTCGCCTTTATCGCGTCCTCATACTTTAATGAAGCCCTTAATATTCATGCTAATATTCATGCTAATATTCATGCTAATATTCATGCTAATATTCATGCTAATATTCATGCTAATATTCATGCTAATATTCATGCTAATATTCATGCCAATTCAAGCAAAAATCAGGCGGCTATCAGACAAAGTAGCGAGGACATTTGGCAGCTCCGGGGCACCGGCGCCCCTGAAAGCTCTTATGCAAATTAGAAAGATGCTAAAATATTACAAAAACTTAGTGGGTCAGAGCCAGGCATTCCCTGCAGCAAGTCACTACGCAACTCTTTCTTCCAGTAAATTTGCACTCATTAACTTGAGAACATAAATTTGTGCACGTTGATAATATTTCAGTATCTTTCTTGAAACTTAAGTATTCTCCTTTATTAAATCTAAAAAATTAATGGATAAATTAATGTTTTGATGTGATTTAAAGCCTCGAAAAGCTTCTTAAACAAAAGTACATTCATAGAAATGAGTGAGACCTCGTCCAAATATCGATGCACTTTGGTTCTTGGATGGGTCATCCTGAACCAGTTTGGCCCGGCAGATGGGTGTATCAATGCCACGTGGAGAAGGTGCCATTAGTTTTTTGACAATTTGACCCATTGATTTTCTTTAATGCGTTCTCCGTCATTGTGGTCTCGTTAATTGATAATCGCATAGTGATAATTAAAATAACTTTATCAACATTTTATTTTTTCAGAAAAGTTCTCTTCCTTAGTTTTAATGGTAAAAGTTTCTTGTTAGTCATAAAATATTATTACAAGATATATGTTGTTCCAGACCGGCTTCCGTATTAGATGCAGTCATTACATGTACTATGCATGACTGGGCATAATGTATAAATTATGTTAATGTAAATCATATATATGGTCATTACCAGACGGTTGCACCTCATAACATTAACAGCGACAGCGTTGTACTTCTTACATAAATTAAATGCACTAAAATATAATTATTATACTCTTACATAATAATTATTATATTTAATAATAATTACATCTCCTAATGATCATACCTGCAGGGAAGACGTGGTAGACACAAGGCTTCCTCTGCTTGCCCACAGCGTTGTACCTCTTACATAAATTAAATGCATTATAATATAATTATTATACTCTTACATAATAATTACAATATTTATTACTAATATATCTTATATAAATCATACCTGCAGGGAAGACGTGGTAGACACAAGGCTTCCTCTGCTTGCCCACAGCGTTGCTGCCCCAGCACAGCAGCGTCCCGTAGTCCAGCTCCGTCATGGGCGTGTAGCTGACAGTCGAGTGAGCGCCTGACACTGTCACGTGGTCCTGAGATGTGCAGAGTTATTGATTAGTGTGATGTTGTCGGGTCGTTCGTTCCGTTGGTTCAATGAAACTTGGCACAAATAACAGTTAACGGGCTTTATTCAGAGAACATTAACAAGCAGAGTTACACAGATAACGAGTGTTCGGGCGGCACGACCAGCATAACGTGGTTAAAAGGTCCGCACACGTGTAACATTGCTAAAAGACTGCCGGATCAACCCGCCACTGACTAACGACACATCGTCGCAGCGAGAAATCCGCTATATTAAACACGAGAAAACATGACAAAACCTAATGAATTAAGGAAATAATTAATACAAGGCTAGCGTGAGACAGGCGAACTCACAATAATACAATATACAAATGTTAAAATTTACACCCTACAACAGCAACATAATAGCTTGAAACCATAGTGTTTCGAAAAAGTTAGCTAATTAATAATTTTTTAGGAAGTCATTTTTTTAAAGAAGTCATCGCCAAAATTGCTAAGCAATTTTCAACTTTTGTACGTCATCCTGAACCGGTCTGGCCCGGCAACAGGCTTTCCATGATCGCGCAGTTGTTAAGAAAATGTGTCGCAATTGGGATAAGATGACCAATTTATTTTTTTGAGTGTATTCCAGCAACGAAACTTGATCACCAAAAAAAAAATCTCTGCAAATTTCCGATATTAAACCCAAATTTGTTCAACTCAAAATAGGTCTATTGACTTCAACATGTGCGAACACAACCTCAGAAACACGTGTTATTGCACAGGCGATTGCTTGCAGGCGTAATTGAGTTGACAGTCCGTCGGTAAAAAGCGACGTAAAATGAACGCTTGTCTCCAGATAGATCAGCTACTGATAGTGATTCTCAATTGTGAAACCAGGAACTGATAGTGAGGCGATGCTCATGTTCATTCATGAGCACAATGAGGCGATGTTCATTTGTGAAACTAAGAACTGATTGTGACACAATGTTCATTTGTGAAACTAAGAACTGATAGTGAGACGATGTTCATTTGTGAAACTAAGAACTGATAGTGAGGCGATGTTCAGTTGTGAAACTAAGAACTGATAGTGAGGCGATGTTTATTTGTGAAACTAAGAACTGATAGTGAGACGATGTTCATTTGTGAAACTAAGAACTGATAGTGAGGCGATGTTCATTTGTGAAACTAAGAACTGATAGTGAGGTGATGTTCATTTGTGAAACTAAGAACTGATAGTGAGGCGATGTTCATTTGTGGAACTAAGAACTGATAGTGAGACGATGCTCATTTGGGAAACTAAGAACTGATAGTGAGGCGATGTTCATTTGTGAAACTAAGAACTGATAGTGAGGCGATGTTCATTTGTCATGCAGGAATAATGCAGACTTCAGCCGGCACGACAGAGTTGCGCGCGCTTTCATTAGAGCTTCGACTCTTGTTAAGCTTTATTACCGTCACTAGCAATAACAGTTCGAGGATAACAACCACTCGTTCATCTCCGTCATAATGATGGCTAAAATTGGCCTAAAAACTGGGTTATGAGGTCATATGGCTGTAATAAACGCAGCAGATATCGCATCACAGATCGCGTCATCACGAAGAACTGAATTAAGGATGAATTAGGGATGAAATGATGAATGAAACATGGGACTTGCTCGGCTACGGTGCAAGAGATGACTGAACGTCAATGCATATTAATTCTCCTGTACTGCAACACGGAAATGAGACTCATGGAGAGGAAGAGAAAGAACTAATAAAGGAGCTCGCACCTTAGCATATAGAGAAGAAAAATAATATATGATATCGAGAGAGATGAAATAAAAGAGACCTGTAGAAAAGAGAAGAAATAAGGATTTAATGTTCTATTATGCGCCAAAGAGAACAGCAAAAGAATCAATATCGGGCTTCAATGTATATTACTATTTGCTCCTAATTTTTATCTCATAATCAATAATTTCTTTGCCTCCGAGTTATTCTTTGTTTTGAAATGAATGTTTTTGTAGCCCCTCCAAGCTTTTCTTGGATGTTTATTGTTGATTGTTAATTATATTTTTTGGCTGTTGTCAAAACAAATGTTTTTGACGCTGTTCAGGTGTGAAGGCAGATTATAGCTGCCTCGGTACAACGGCGAGCCAGGAGTAAAATGTGTAGAATAAAAACTTTATGTTTATGTTCATTTTTACCGGACGATAGTCATCATTAATGAGCTTTTGCCATTCTGCTCCACTTTAATCCACTTGATTTACAATTAAAATCTCCGATGAGATGCCTTGACACGCTCAATCCACACTCAAAGAAATGAGTCAGACTGTGTCCAAATAGCCAAACACATTATACACTTTCGTGGGTCACGCTGACTTAGTTCGGCCCAGTAATAGGACATATAAGTGCTACATCCGCTCTCGACTCGTGCTGTCGTTAAATAAAAATTGTGACACTATTTAAACAATTTGATCCATTCATTTCGCCGAGTGCAGTTGATTGCTGGAGAAGCTCTGTCGATGAGAGGACGCTCGCTCTTTATTAATTGGACAATCTCTGCTAATTTATACAGATTTCGTTAATGAAAAATACTTCATGTATTTTAATGAATTTTTGAATCCCAATGCAATTCGCTCAAATCATCTTCTACATCTTTCAGTTCGAATTAAATGTTAATTGAATAACACAAGATTTACAATATTATGTCCAACCGAAGTCCCAAAGCCATTATATTAGAGGGTAAAAGGGTCAGACTGAATAAGTTTAGCTAAAATAATTTTACGATGCAGAATTTCATGTCCTCGTTCACAGTTTATTATTCAGAAAATCAGATGGGTCACATTGTCCAAATAGTGGCATACTTTTTGTGCACGTAGCGCTGATACGCTATTTTGCTGGGCCAAAATGGATGAGGGTGTCCGTGACGAGGGCAAAAAGTCCATCGCTATTTGTACAAAGTATCACTCATTTCTCTGAGTGCTATTTGATCTCCTTGGCTATATCGTTTGTTTAGAAGCAACACCAACATCTTGTAACTACGGCTGGTCGAACAGCCATCTATTGATATTTAAAAGGTATTTTTAATATATTATTTCGTGATCATCTGCGTGCTAACCGTGTAACTCTAGATATTTGATAGATATTTTTAAGCTATTATTTTGTGACCACTTTTGGAATCTTGACGCTCCTGTGGCTGTTTTTGGAAATCCAAGTGAAGGTGTGAGGCAGAGGATGCGCGACAAAATAGCAATTTATATTGACGAATATTCTCTATATACATCATAAAATATTTGTATGAATCACCTGCGGAATCTTGACGCTCTCGCCGCTGTTGTTGAAGGTCCAAGTGAAGGTGTGAGGCAGAGGATGAGACTCGAGATGACAAGGAATGTTGACTTGTTCATGTCGTGCAGCGCCGTGGTACATGGGCTGGTCGCTGCGACATACCGGCGCGTCTGAAGCACATGAAAAAATTGTTATTTGCATGTGCAGTTATGGTCAACGTCGTTATTTGCATGTGCAGTTATGGTCAACATTGTTAATTGATTGACAGTTGTTCCTGAGTTATATTTTTTATGTATGAATAATAACATGAGTGGATAAGTTCGCTGCGACATACCGGCGCGTCTGGAGGGAATGAACAAATATGGTTATTGGCGCGTGCAGTTATGGTCAACGTCGTTATTTGATTAACAGTCGTTCCTCAGTGAAATTTTTTATGCATAAATAATAACATGAGTGGATAAGTTCGCTGTGACATACAGCTACTCTTATTGACATACGTAATTAGTACTGACGCTGTTATTTTAATGACATTTGATCGTCATTCAAGAGAGATTTTTGACCTACGTGACACATCACAAGTTGGTTAAAAGAGGCACTGGCATTTCATGGATGGATCAGATAATTTGACTAGCTTATATTTATTTTTTTTATTTATCGGTATCTATTTTAGCTCCACTTTTGCGTACTATGCGTAAGAAATTAAAGTAGTTCCGTAACTTGATAGTGACTAAGAACTACTGCAAATGCTGTCTGATACGAATTTTCGTGCAGAGCGACAAAATCCAGAAAATTCGCCACATTAAATGTTGATAATCAGTACATGACAAAGTAAATTACTCAGAGTTCAGTTAGGTGACTAATAAAAATGAGATTCAGGTATCCTTGGTAGCTTTCCCGCTCAATGCTTAAGTGCAATATACATCAAGTAATTGAAGTAACTTAATTCTAGTAATTTTTGTGATTTTGATCCGACTATCAGCAATTTTCAAATTTTTGATTGCTGAATTGTCTAAATTTAAACTAGCTAATTAGGCTTGTTAAATCAGGCTGCACGATTGTACTGAACAATAAAAGTACTTACGTCCTCTTCCTAAAATAATTTCTATGATCACTCAGAAATCACGAGATGAAAACTACGTTGAGAACTTCTCTGTATGTGCTAATAAGTTCACGATCGATTAGAAAAATGAGTGGGTCAAACTGTCCAAATAGTGACGCACTTTATTACCCGCAGCACGAACAGAGAGCGGAAAAAACACAGACACGTCGATATGTCGGGCCAAACTGGATCAGGATTACCCGAAAATTGCAAAAGTGCGCTGCTATATGGACAAAATCCGGAGCATTTCTCTGAGTGCAGGGCGTGTCTCTCGCATTCAGGAAGAATGCTTTCAGCGAGGCAGTTATTCTCAGGCGCTATAAATGCAAAACTGGTCGCGAGATGAAGCAACTGCCAGCTTCAGCGAGGCAGTTATTCTCAGGCGCTATAATTGCAAAACTGGTCGCGAGATGAAGCAGCTGCCAGCCCAACACGACAGGCCTGTTATTAATTATGTCTGGCCATGCGGGCACACGCTATTCTGTACCAAGCCAAAAATGGCATTCCATTTCGGCCATGAAGGCGGCAAAATTATGCGTTTTGACGTGCAATGACATGCTTATGTTCGGCACGTGTATGCAAATGAGAAGCACTTTCATTAAAACTTTTTTGCTTAGTCCTCCTATGTAACGCCTTTGTTGACAAGATCGTCGCAGGTCAGAA